TTGACGTCTATGTAATATTGCTAATTATTACAGAGTCATACAAACTGCGCATTAGAGTGACATTCAACTAACTTAAAACCAAAAATAAAATTAACAACCATTGTTGTTAATAGTACTTAAAATGAAATAGTAAATGCGTTCATTATTTTGATGTTTAAAAAAAGCCAGCCCAAAAAGAGGTAGAGACCCCCACCCCCCATATGTCGAAGAAAGCCTTCCCCCCCCCCCAAAAAAAAAAAACCCCAACTAATTAGGTCTATATATTTAATCTCATGTTCATTACTTAAATAAATACTTCATTTATTTTACATCAAATTGCTAAAAGTTAAAATTCATTGAGAATGATATAAGTGTAAAATGTAATGAACACGTTCAATTTCAATATAAATCTAAACTGTCTTCGATGTATTTGGCCTATTTTCTTAGAAACACACTACAGTTTATAATTTAAATATAGGTAAGTGACAGAGAGCAACTAACCTCCAAACTTCACCAACTTTTAACACTGTAGCTTGTTACAAGGCAAGGAATCGGGCTAATATCCCAAACTGTAGAGAATCTCATGTCATCTAAGTTAGGCAACTGCAGTCTAATACATAAGTACGAGTGATGCGATGTATCCAGTCATCTCCCCTATCTCATTTAATCCTTGACTTGCAGACAACAGGTAACGTGTAAATATATCACAGTCCACTGTCACAATGATGTCAGGGGCAGAGAAGGAAGTTATTAATGCAGGGCGTACTAATTGTTAACCCTCTCTAACTCGAGAAAGTATTAATGTTAATTATATGCAGGATTCAATTTTATTTGGTTTTGGCATGTTTATTTAAATTTAAAGTCCATTTAAGACGCCCTGATTATTCAACTCTTTTTTCTTTGTCCAAATACCTCCACGGTGACTTTTTTTTTTAGGCACCTAAGTATAACTGGGATTGAGAACTGCATTTTTAGTCCAACAGCTATATACCAGTATCATAGCCTACCTGACCTTTTAGCAGTTATAGGCCTATAGGAGTATCATAGCCTACCTGACCTTTTAACAGTTATAGGCCTATAGCAGTATCATAGCCTACCTGACCATTTAACAGTTATAGGCCTATACCAGTATCATGGCCTACCTGTCCTTTTAACAGTTATAGGCCTATAGCAGTATCATAGCGTACCTGACCTTTTAAAAGTTATAGGCCTACACCAGTATCATACGCCTACCTGACCATTTAACAGTTATAGGCCTATACCAGTATCATAGCCTACCTGACCTTTTAACAGTTATAGGCCTATAGCAGTATCATAGCGTACCTGACCTTTTAACAGTTATAGGCCTACACCAGTATCATACGCCTACCTGACCATTTAACAATAACATGGCAGTGTCCGACCTTACCTTTTAACAGTTAGGCCTACATGTCAGTGTCAGACCTGACCTTTTAACAGTTACATGCAATAATCATGCAGATCTGACCTTTTATCAGTTACATGCCAGTATCAGACCTGGAATTACAACAGTTATATACCAGTATCAGACTTGACCTTTTGACAGTTACATGCCAGTCTCAGACCTGACCTTTCAACAGTTAGGCCTAAATACCAATATCACACTTGAACTTTAAACAGTTATATAGTAGTGCCTGACCTAGACTCTATAAAATCTGAGAAACAGTGAAAATAACAACATTTATAAAGAGAACTATACGTTGAAATCTAGTATGTCGTATTGCTTTTTAAATGAACTTTTAAAGTTTTATTGTATAAAAATATGTAATAAGTCATAAGTGAATGGTCCCATATGTTTTGCAGCTATTTAGGATTATAGGCCTAGTAGTATAGAAATCATGTGTAATTGAACGTCCTGGTACAATTTGTCACATAACCAAAATGTTGGAAAAAGCCGCAGAATATAAATCATAAAGACACTTTGATTTCTGTACCCGAAACTGTGTCACAAACGAAATTTCCCGAGACAGAGCACGAGTACGGTGGCTTAATAACGTAGAGGCAGATCTACATCAGATAAAAGTTCAGGCATGGAGACACATATGATAGATCAGATTGGAGAGATGTGCTAAAGCAAGCCCGCCCTCCCCCCCAAAGTAGCGCCACTGGGATTGATGGAAAATATAGCATATATATATATTTCAATCCTTTATTCTTTCCTGTCCAATTTTCTCTTTCTCTCCTTTCTTGTATTAAGTTCTTTCTTTCTCTCTTTTTCTGTCTTTGTTTCTGTTTCTCTCATGGGGCCTCTTTCTCACTATAAGTCCCATTACTCTCTCAATCTCTCACGATATATGCCAGTGTTCTCTTCACAAATTTTAGCCAAATTTTCGGCTAGTTCAGAGTTGATCTTGCCAGATGCTCAAGACTGTTGAAGCTCATTATTAACTCGTAGCCCTCAGAATACATAAGACAACCTGGAGTGGAACTACTCAGACTCCGTGATCCAAGACTGGGCCGTATTTAGAATCGTTAAAGCCCTAAGCCTTTTGAGTTACAAGGCCTCTTAAAATCAACATGCGGCAGTTTTCTTCCAAATGTGATGGAAAGTATCTATGGAACCACCTGTAGTGGCCCCAAAAATGTGGTGGCCCTAAGCTGTAGCTTCTGTTGCCAATAGGAAAAATCCAGCAGTAATCCGAAAATGAAATGTAGTTATTAAAGGACGCTAAAAAACAAACAGTTGCACACTCTTATTTAATGAGTCAAAATGTAAGACAACGCTTACATGATCGTGACATTTCTTTTTCTGGATGATTTCCCTTTCATGTAAAGTGAAAAAGAAAAAGGGTTACACCCATGTGTAGAGTGGAGAGGAGGGTGTGCTAAGGTTTCATGACAGGTTGTCGTTGTAATAGATGACCCTCGTGACAAGCTGTGCATACATTATTTACTCGTATGATTGGGCATTTCTTCTCTTTATAAAATGCACAGACTAGCTGGTCATAGTACATAACTGATGAAAGCCGAGCTGGTATGCGCTCTGAACTGTCGTCTCGATGGTCCTAGGATCGAACCTTACCCGCCATGATCTCTGGCGTCCAGCAGGAGGTTAGCTGTACGACGTAATGATCTTGGTCTGAAAGATCTTCTGAAATCTTAGAAATTAAAGGATGTAATGATCTTGGTCTGAAAGATCTTATGAAATCTTAGAAATTAAAGGATGTAATGATCTTGGTCTGAAAGATCTTATGAAATCTTACAAATTAAAGGATGTAATGATCTTGGTCTGAAAGATCTTATGAAATCTTACAAATTAAAGGATGTAATGATCTTGGTCTGAAAGATCTTATGAAATCTTACAAATTAAAGGATGTAATGATCTTGGTCTGAAAGATCTTCTGAAATCTTAGAAATCAAAGGACGTCATGATCTTCTTTTTTTGAAAGATCTTTTGAAATCTTACAAGACAAATCCTCCATATTGAGAAATTAAAGTGTAGGGTTATTGAAGAATTTCAGGCATAGCTAACCTGTTGTTGTGGGCCTGATGTTGGTAATACGGTATTGATTTTGAAATATTTTAATAAATCAACTTAACAGATGACCTTAACGTTATCTGCCCCATAGACTTTAATCAAATCAATTTTGCAATGTTCAGCACTGTAGAATTAAATATCGAAGCTCTTTTGATTGTAGTGTTGATCACATTAAACGAGCTAAAGAACACAACAAAAAGACTTGATTTTTGTAAAGGCATCACTAGGTAATGGAATCTAAAACATAGATGCTAACGCTTGGTTAGACAAAGCTCTCGACTAGACCACACTATGTGAAGAGAACATTATAAGCCATTGACACCGAGCTTGCAATGGTCTCAGCCGACAACGACAAAAAATATGCCAAACGTGAAACTATCTCAAATTAAAACACTAGCAGATCCAGAACGTTTGACTGGGGTGGGGTGCATCTTTTCCCCAAACCTAAGTAGAACCCCTAACCCTACGTATAAACAAAGACACACATATAAATCAATATTAAAAAAAAGTGTCTCTACACTTTGAAGGGGAAAAAAACGTACATTGGCTCTACTCCTTTCTGGAGGGAGCGTTGTAAGCTTCATTAGCGGGGTTCGGGGTGGGGACTCGTCGCCAATAGTTTTGTTGCATTTTCCTGAAGTCGACATCTCACTATCTATCCGATTTAAAAAAGTAAGGTGGGCGCACTGGATGATACTGAGGTGTGACAATTGAATCACGAGTAAGCCCCTATGTGGGTCTTTATTTCAATAACTGTTATGTATAATCTTCGTTTTTTTCATACCAACAATAATATTTTTTTTGTTATAAGAGTTTGTTTATTATTTGTTGTTGCAGGTGCGAACGTCATTCCCCAACAATTCATGTTAGAATAATTAGGGACTTCATAAAACAGGAGAATACGCGGCCTTGTAATATAGAGTATAGTATTTAATGCAAATGGCAAGACGGTTATAGATTCCTCTAGCAAAAGAAAGTGATTCAAACTGGCATTTTTTAAAAACATCGAGAGAATAAATTTGCATGATCTGTACTGAAATAAACAAATAATAGTAAAAGCTAATCATTGAAAACTAGTGCTCGGCCAATGGTACTTTTAAAATTGATGTAAATTTGCATGTTGGTTCAATTTTAAACGAAATAATAACTTCAGTAGGTTTTTTTTAAATATCTCTTGCTATGAAAATTCTAAATGTCAAAATGAAATATTAATTAAAAAAAATATCTGTAAAATAAAGATGTAGACGAGTGTTAGATGATTCAAATAATTTTACCAACTAAATATCAATCCCCTAGTCTTGCCGTTTCAACTTGACAGTAAGCTGCTAATATCTTTGACTAACCACCACTGGCAAGTGTGCATTGATCAAATCGTAGGACAGTCCTCAAGTTTTAGTGCAAACCAATCTATGAGATACCTCAATGTAGTGTTCAAACAGAAGTCTATTACCTCATTAGTTAGGTCACTAAATAGCTCTGCATATGTAAATCGCGAAGTATCAAGAAATCAAGCCAACTCCAGTGCTCTACAGATTGTATTATATTTAATTGATGAGAGTAAAATAAATATCTAGCCACATACAGCCCAAACTTTCTGTCAACTTTCAAAGCAAACCACAATAAGAAATGAAGGAGCTAGACAAAAAATAGACAAAGATATAAATACATGTATGTACACAAATCAATTATTTCTGTTACAACTCCATACATTCAAGGACTTGGTGGGTATTGAGCAGTTAAAACTCACATTCAAAAGATCATGGCCTAGTATTGTTTTTTTTATTTCTTGGTTCTGACACCACCACCCCGCCTCTATTCTATAGCCTGACATATTTTTGTATTTGGATGTATTGATTCTAGTTCTTTGGAAATACTACCAGCAATGTGACATACTGCCAGCACATTGCTAGCAAGTGAAAGAAAAATTATTGAATGGTGTTCAACTTTTCAGGTTTGTGAACGCACCCCCACCCCCCAACCCAAATCAAAAGTTAAAAAAAAATTGTTGATAGCAAACAAGAGATTAACAAGTGGTCTGGTTGACTTAGGAGATCTACAGATCCCAGCCAAGTGGTTTGGTTGACTTAGGAGATCTACAGATCCCAGCCAAGTGGTCTGGTTGACTTAGGAGATCTACAGATCCCGGCCAAGTGGTCTGGTTGACTTAGGAGATCTACAGATCCAAGCCAAGTGGTCTGGTTGACTTAGAAGATTTACAGATCCAAGCCAAGTGGTCTGGTTGATTTGGGAGATCTACAGATCCCAGTCAAGAAGTCTGGTTCCCAGTCAAAGAGGAAATGAAAAAATAAATTTTCAGTCACCCCAGTTTTATTGTGACTAGACCTAATATCAAAATCTAACAATGTCTGACATTATGTCACCAAAGTTTACACATTCTCACATAGAAGTCCACAACCCCACACAGCATAATACATTCTCATATATTACAGCACATTCTCACATAATAGAAAATCCTAAGGATATTGGCTATACACTTATATGAAGCTACAAAGTGCACAATAGGAAAAATGGCATATATATGAAATAAGCACTCAAATATTTTACAATCCCTTCAAGAAACAAATATCACAATGTATATATATATTTTCTTTTTAGGTGCTTTCCTTCTTAGGAAGATGAACCTTCTATTGGTTCAACAACAAACAAGATGTACCCAATGAAGATAATAGCATGGTGAAAGGTTACACTTTAAAGCAGTCAAGGATGTCAACAAATAAAATCTGATAAGCCCTCAAGAATGCAAGGCAATATATACATCAAGTAGTTAAACATTTGTTCCAAATGTATTTTCTCTTAACTAAGCCACTCAAACAAGCAAAACATTTATCTACACAACATATTGCACTCAGGCTGGTCAAAAAAAAACAACAACCAAAAACATAATTTTTTATTGCTGGAAAAAGTTCTGACCTCTGAAAATGTTAAGTACTTAACAGAATAGTCTTGATGCTAGATCAAGTTCTTCACTATCTAGGTAACTGTTCTGCTAAACATGGTAAGATTGCAGTTACCAACGAGAAATTTATTTTAGCTCACACTGATGAAGACTAAGACTAAGACAGCTTTATTGATCCTTATTGAATATTTGTTGTGATTACAAAGACCTAATTTGTAAGACATGTTGTTGGCTAACGGAGCAAGACAAGGCTGGAAATTGACATTTCTTCTGCATTTTACCAGCTAAAAAAGCTGTTAATTCAATCTGGTTTTAAAGGCAATCTTCTATGTCAAGCTGGAAGGACAACAGCGTTATAGAGATGTTCCACGAAAATGCTTTAAAGACCAGCTGGCATTGTTGTGGGCTGCAAATGGCTTACAAAACAAACACCTGGAGATCTCTTACGATAGCCACAAGATAATTTTAAACCAAAAGATATTTCAAAGCTAGGCATTGATGACAAAAAGAGAGATTAAATGTCCACTACCAGTTTGTGTTAGATGTAGCAAAAATATGTAGATCACAGCCAGGACTGCACTCCTCCTCAACCTTCATCCTAAGAGACAAGCCTAATTATCTAATAGGCAGTTGTGATAATACTTACAGTAAGCTATAAACCAAATTTTAAAAATGTTGAGTCCATAAACATCAGGTTTGCAGATGGAAAAAAAGCAGAATAGACACATTTAGTTGAAACAGGAAAGAATCCCAGTGACTGAAGAATTGTTCACTTTCCAAAAAAGTTTTAAATCCTCTTTTAGATCTAAACACCACATGATGTAACATTAAGTTAGAACAAAGATCCAACAGACAGACTTGGAGTATCAGAGTATCAAGGTAGATAGAGATAGCCATCAGTGGCATTCAATTCGTCAAGCGACAACTCTGGTTTGGATTCAACTAATGAAACTGTAGATCAGGGCCACAGTAATGACACAATGACACCTAGCATCCACTAGGAAAACTTGAGAACAGCCACACAACAAGCAGAGCACACAACACATTAATGTGCTATCATCTGTTGACTGCACTGTCTATCTCAATTAAATCATCAAAGAGAGGAAGTAGAGAACTCTTCTTTGACTAGGGCTCAAAAATGCCCAGTACAAGACTTGCTAATGCAAAAAAAAAACAACAAAATAGCATTGATTTGTCCTTCTGAAAATAATTAACTAGATCAAGAGAGAAAGGGAAGTACTAACAAAAAAATTCTAATAACTGAAATAAATTATCCTAATTCCTTATGTTCCTGGCATCAGAATATTTTCATAAGTTTAATAAAATAAAAGATGAAACAAAAACAAACTTGTGAAGACAAAAAAAAAAAAAGAAACCAATTTTGCCTCTAGCCATGAAAAAAAAACATGAAGACATGAACAGATGGTTGACTTATTATTCAAATAAAATAAACAGAATAATTAAAAGAAATCAAAGCAACTAATGTTCTAAAGCCAGCAAAACAGCATATATATATATATTCTTAAAAGGTAGGTCGATATAAAAATATAAATTCTTTTATTTCAATTAAATAATGTTATAAACAAATAGCAGTACAATAAAAGTTTCTTAACAAAAAATTTTTTTTAGTCCTCAAGCACACTGCCAATTAGATCAGATACAGTTCACCCAAGCTAAATCTAATTCTTATTTTTTTTTTATATACATTCTCCTTTCATAAAGAACAACAAAAAAAAAACCAGTGTAAAAAGTTCATTATAACATTAAAAAAGAGCCTCAGATTATATACCTAGTTAGTTCTGTGACATAGAAAATCAACACAAATTTTATGAGCTACTAAAACGATGTTTTAAGTGATCCTTCATAGCGATGCATTTTAAAAAAAAAAAAAAAAAAAAAAAAAAGGATCATTCAAGAAAATGGAATGCTAGATAAATCAAGACAATCATATCACTGGTGTGTGTGTGTGTGTTGAGTCATGGGGGGGACGCCCAAGTGAGCCAAGCTGAGCCATCCATGAGCTAGAGTAGAGGGTAACAGCAGAGGGAGGTCACATGACTTTTCAGTAGGTGTCTTTTGGTGTCACATTGATCATTTCAGTGGACCTAGGAGACCAAGTTAAATATGATTAATATCATGTGCAAACTTTTAAAACATTATTAAATAAGACAAACAATAGCAAGTACAGAGCTAAGTAAAGTTAAGTAGAAGCAAACACCTTTTTTTTTAAAAAAAAAATTGTGAACATCATTTGGTACCATTCATCTAAAATATTCATCTTTGGAAAGTGTAGTTAGTATATTTTGAAAATGAAATGTTGCTTTATAAATATTTGCAAAAATTTTGCTTTATAGAATTTAAATATTTAAAAAGACTTGTTATCCTTCCAACAAAATATACCCGCCAACTTTTATACATAGCAATAAGAAACTACACCAATGAAAAACTAAAAAAGCTTACCCCCCCCCCCCCTTCCCACATTAATCAGTGGTCCAATTCACCCTTTTAAGGAAATAAAAAAAAAATAGGCAATAGCAAAAAGGAAATTAAAACTATTTTTGTTTTGGATGGGATAAATGGATTGTCTTCTGCTCAAGAGATGAATATTTTGTTTCATCTCATATTTTAAATTATTTGAATTGAAGTGAAACAAAAAGTTGAACAGGAAAGTCTTAACAAAAAAAGCAATTAATGACTAGGAAAAGAAGCATTGAATTAAACCTCAAGTATTTTTAGGAAAAAAAAAAAAAACTAATGTAAAAAACAAATTTGCTTAAATGACGGTAAAAAAAAAAGATTTTGATTAAATGACAGCAAATAAAAAAAAATGGCTGAAATGACAGAACTGCCTGATATTGCAAACTGAAAGGAAAAGAAATGAATTAAATATCCAACACAATGTTTCAATATAAAAAAAACTGTTGAATCCCTCTGCAGCGAGCCATCATTACCTTCTTTAAGTTTTTAACTGCCGTCCTCCTAGAACACAGAGGAACAGTCAAAATGTTAATGTTAAGTACAAATAGGTTCTTGGATTGATACTGTTTAATAGACAACTTCTTTCCTATTCTGTTCTGAACATGCCCTTTCTATATATTATTAGTCTAGATAAAAAGAATAACTTATTAATTTTATTTTTACTTGAGATTTTTCCAATTCATTAACAGACAATATTTTTTTTTACAAGTATTTCAAAAGTTGTGCACTAGAAGAGCTTTCAAATTAGGGACATTGCCTAAGTAGATAGTAAAATGCATCCAACTTCTTTCCTTACAGAGATCTAACTAGTTTCTGTAGAATTATTTCAAACAAAAGCAAAGAAAATAATGCTGTGTAGAGACCTAGGTGACTAAAACATGTAAAATGTTTCCAGAGACAAAATATTACACAGTTGTTTTAAGGGTCACACAGTGATCAACTGTAATAACAGAAATAACAGCTGGTTGGGCTCTAGTCCTAAAACTATGAACAATAATTACAGACTGCATTTGAATTCAAACTAAAAGTTTGGTCAGTCATCCAACTGTTTTCCACTTGGTCACATCTTCATTAAGCCTAACAAAATATTTATACCCAAATCCTGTCAGTGGATGAGTGGTTAAGAGATTGGCTTCCCAACTTGGGGTTGTGGGTTCGAATCCTGGTGAAGAATTGGGATTTTGAATTTCTGGATTTTTAGGGCACCCCTTAGTCCACCCAACTCTAATGGGTACCTTACCTGACTTTAGTTGGGGAAAGTAAAAGCGGCTCATTAACCATTGGCCAAAGAAATAGATGACCTATATATCATCTGCCCTAGAGCTAGCAAGGTCTGAATAGGGAACTTTTTTTTTTACATCAAGGACCAATACGAGTTTTAAAAAGTCCAGACAATGAAAGAAATGTTCCATGTCTAATATCAATACAGTATGCTCTTTTCCCTTAAAAGCTAAGTTAATTGGTGCTCTACAAAAGTGATTGATAAAAACAACTGTATTTTATCTAGAAATCACAATGAGTTCTGTCCCATTGTCTAGATAAAATTTCTATGAAAATTCAGGATGACAGGAGCAAATTACTCAGTAAATAAATTGGACATGCTGGTATTTAAATCAAAGTGGATAGGGGTCAGCAACAGCTTTGACAGCTTCTAGAG